AGCACACATCTTTGCTTGCTCATTTCATGTTTTCTTGGAATTAAATTTGTATTTTAACTTTCTTTGCACCTGAATGTTACAACAGCAGAATGTTTTCTGCCCTTTCATCATGTCAAACTTAAATAATTTCATCTGGTTTAAAATTGCTCTATGCTGCCTTTTCCTGGCAACTTACTAGCACCATCAAATTATCAGGTACCATTATGACTATATCAAAAGACAGGGTGAAACCATCTCCTCTGCCAGATAGCTGGAAGCTGGCGGAAATTTTTACAACTGGAATTGTTCTGGGTGGTTACTTGGCAGTGATGACAGTTATATTCTTTTGGGCTGCTTACAAAACAAACTTCTTTCCGGTATGGTGACCTCCCTTAAATGTGGAAGATTTATTTGATCTTATAGAACACATTTGCCTGTTGGCAAACTGTATGAGGATAGACGTTCACATTGCAAGATTCTAGTCTTTCTTATTTGATAAAAGCTCCCTTCTGTCCCCTTTTTGTTGGAGTAAGCTCCCAATTTATTTGTTGATGACTGAAATGCGTTGAAATGCCATTGAAAAGCATTGATTTTGAATATGTGAACTACTTAACTGTTATTTCTTGTTTGTTAATTTCAGCGTGTTTTTGGGGTGTCAACTCTGGAGAAAAGAGCTCATGATGACATCCGAAAGCTTGCCTCTGCAATTTACCTGCAAGTGAGCATTATCAGTCAGGCACTAATATTTGTGACACGATCTCGAAGTTGGTCTTATGTTGAGCGCCCTGGATTGTTACTAATGGCAGCTTTTGTGGTTGCTCAGTTGGTAAAATCAATCTCCCTACTGTGTTTTTATTGCTAACGTTTTGGGAGAGGTAGGAAGAAAAACTGATAATTTATTTAATTGTGAGTAGATTGCTACTCTGATTGCGGTCTATGCAAACTGGAGCTTTGCTGCAATTGAAGGGATTGGATGGGGTTGGGCTGGCGTGATCTGGCTTTATAATATCATTACCTATATCCCACTTGATTTCATCAAGTTCTTCATACGTTATGCGCTCAGTGGTAGGGCCTGGGATCTTGTTATTGAGCAAAGGGTATGTGTTCTACTGGTTTGCTGGATATAGCTTCCCCACCTTGTTATCATGTTCACCACCTTCACTAATTTATTGGATTTCTTTGTGATGTAGATTGCATTTACAAGGCAAAAAGATTTTGGAAAGGAACAACGTGAGCTGCAATGGGCACATGCACAAAGAACACTGCATGGGTTGCAGGCGCCTGACACCAAAATGTTTACGGAGAGAACTCATTTCACAGAGCTCAATCAAATGGCTGAGGAAGCCAAACGAAGAGCTGAAATTGCAAGGTAAGTAGCTAGGCGTGCGGCACCTTTCTAGCATTATACTGTTCTTTTCATTTTTATCTTGCTAAACCACGTGCATATTTATCCTGCCTTGTAGGCTAAGAGAACTCCACACATTGAAGGGTCATGTAGAATCAGTGGTGAGACTGAAGAACCTGGACATTGACACAATCCAGCAAGCTTATACAGTCTAGAAGAAATCTTCTGCATCTGTCAGACATCAATAACATCATTTTGCCTATGACGACGTGATTATCATGTTGTGGATAGCCTGTCAACTTCTTCCAAAGTTCTTGTCTTCACAGTGCACAAGAGTGCTGCGGTTAAGCTTACCTATTATTTCCTTTATAATTCCTCTTGTGCTACCCCGTTTCATATCCTAAATCTACATTAGGGAATGGAAGTGGATTATTTATGGTCAGATCACTTTATGTTTATATTAGTAACTTGTATGACCTTTTTCATCCTTCTTTATGTTGTATTAAGAACAAACTCATGATAGCTTATCGTTTCTATAGTTCCTAATACTTGGGATTATTATTACATATTACAAACTCGTTTTTATTAATCCATGAGAATATCGTGGTATTTTCTTCTCAATGGTTGTGTTATATACAACAAGAGTTAAACCTCTTTTGTCATTCATCTTTCTCTATCAATAAAATCATTATCTGCACTGCAGAAGGTAGGATTTTCTTTTTGTGAAGTACTGAAGGTGGGAATTGCTTTTGGGTCTTTGATTGCTGAGTTTAATTATTTTGGTGGTGGTGGATCAATGTTGTATGATAAAGGATGGGCAAGGACATCAACAACGATGCCTTTTTAGATTTTCCGTATCTCGATATGGAATGCATCGTCATTCGTGACCTCAAAATCCACTATTACCGATTTCAAGGCAGTTTAGTTTATACATTACACATTTTCATCGTGCAAAGAATTAAGGATAAGTATCTGTATCAATCGTTTAGCATTTTTTTTTTTATAACGTGCATGTCCATGTTTTTATTGACTCCATCTGTTCTACAGAGTATTTCCATTTTACACTCACATGACTTTAAAGAGATTCAATCATGGGGGGAACAGAACATCAACTACCCATATTCTAATACGAAGCATATAAAACACCCATATCTTGGTTATGTCCTAACTCTTCAACAGAAAATCATGAGAATTTTATATCATACTACTGGTTTTCCTAATGGAACAACAAAGTTGCCTGGACAATCTAATGAAAGTATTCTTGAATCATAACCAAAAAGGCGATTTTGATAACCTAACATGGATTTGATGTCCTAGGAATAAAACTTATCATATCAAATCTCCATTAACTTCAAGGGTTTCATTGTTGTCTTTGTATTTATACCACTTGGCACAAACAAGAAAATAGCCCACATTTAAGACGCCTAAACAAGTAATCATGTAGTAGTAGTAGTCCAATCTTCCCTTATTAAGATCCTCTGGCAACCAATCTCCTGTTGTAGTTCCCTTTGTTGCTCGGTGAACCAGTGCTATCAACATGCTACACAGATAACTTGATGCTGCCACGTTGCAATAAAACAAAGCGCCTGCAATGCTTCTCATGTTCTCTGGGAACTGCTTGTAATAGAATTCCACTAGACCAATGGAAGCAAACCCTTCAGCGATTCCAGCGAGTGTGAATTGAGGCATCAACCATGAGCCTGACATGGAAGAAATAGCGCCTTTTCTTGGCACAACTCCTAGAGTTGGCCTTGTGATGGCTATAGTTCTTCTTTGTTTTTCAACGAGGGCAGACACAAGCATGGTGACTACTGAAAGGAATATTCCAATGCCGACTCTCTGGAGGACTGTAATCCCCTCTTCTTTTCTAGTCAATCTCCGGAGAAATGGAACAATGATTCTATCATAGATAGGTATGAAGATGGTCATGCTCAGCATAAGGAACACAATGTATGTTGCTGCTGGAATCTTGAAATTGCTATCTCCAAGGCGTCTGTCTGACTGAACTGCTTGGAAGACTGCATAAGTATGCTGCTGCACTATGGCAACATAGTATATAACCGCTGATGTCCATATAGGAAGCACCCGGAACAGGCACTTCACTTCTTCCACTTGCTGCAAACTGCAAAGTCTCCATGGATTGGCTGGAGATCCATCTGGGTTTATCTTGTCTTGGGGAGTTAGGATAGCTGCTTTTTCAATGAATCTGACATTCACCACCAAACTTAGTTAAAAAATGAAACAAATTAAAAAAAAAACAAGTTTTCTATGAAGAAAATTTTAAGTTGTGTACCGAAATTGATTCGTGTATGGAAGCTTGGAGTTGATGGACTTGGGAGGGATATAGTTGAAAAGAGAGAGCCATGGTACATCTGGCGGGCTGAATTTCCTCTTCTTGATTGCAACAACAATGACTTGAGCCACACTAGTCATTGGACTACCAGTTGCTTTCACTTTTACATATATCTTTGAACCGATGAAATAGACTACACAGGCTATGAGCATCAAAATTGCTGGAATTGCTAACCCAATTGCCCAACTCACATTGGATTGAATGTATACAATCAAGGTCAAGGACACCATCTGAGCAAATGTGAAGGTGAAGAAGTACCAATTGAAGAAGCTTTTTATTCCTTTCTTCCCAGATTCTGTTTTTGGATTGAATTGGTCAGCTCCAAATGCTAAGTTACACGGCCTAACTCCACCAGCTCCCACAACCATCATTCCTAACCCAGAAAGAAGAAATGCCATTTGCCCTGCTGTTGGTCCCTTGCATTGGCTGCTCTCTTGTGCTCCACAGTCGGGAGGATGCAGCCCTGGGATTGCTGCTGTTAGCTGTATTGCCAGCAGCCCCTTTTTTTCAAGAAAGAAATAAAATACACAGACCAGACGTATCTTTATGAACCAGTAAGATAAAAAAAAAAAAGAAAAGAAAAGAAAAAAGGCATATAAAGCTCGATTGTTATCTTGTACCACAAAAGAGGCACATGTAGCAAATCCCAAGGTCTTGTAGCGACCAAAGTAGGTGTCACAGAGAAAAGCTCCAACCAGTGTTCCAAAGTTGGTGGTGCCATTGAAGAAGTTGATCATGGTTGCAGCTGTAATGCTCTTCAAGTTGAACACAGTGGTGAGATAGATCAAGAGGTTGGCTAACACCCCAATTGCTCCCAACTTCTCAAAAGTTTCATTCCCTGAAAAAACCGTCAAATTATGTCCAAGAAAGCGAAGGAAGAGCAAAGGTAAAGAAGGGAAAAGCGCGAAGAATACAAAGAAAGCTGGATTTCACCTATGATGAAGGGCATGGCTTTCCATCCTCTGTAGTTAATTTTTAGCCCTTGATCATACGTCGCCATGGTTTCTCGCCCATTTTGCTCCATTTTCTCACTCTTTTACATACCTTTTTCTTCTTCCACCATGTTCCATTTTTATACGTTAAGGAGAGGAAGAGCTTATGGTTGCACAATAAATCATTAAGGTATAATTTTTAAAAACAATTAGTTATATTATTTTTTTAACCAGTACAATCTAAGCTAGAAAAAAGAAAATTTTAGCATTATAATAGCATGACTAAAATTTTAATTATTATTAAAGTATTAAATGTACTTAATAACTAACTTATAAAATTTAATACTAATTAGTTATATTATTGAATAGTTAATTATGGTATTTATTGAGGTCATAGTTGGTCTAGAACCAAAATAAGTATTTAAACAGCAGTTATGGCATCTATTGGGGCTACCCAATATAATTAGTTTAGTGCCAAAATAAGATCAAACATATAAAAATAATTCTGAAAGAAAACAATTTTTTAGAAGGAAATATAGTACTAATTTTTTATAATACCATATCCTTATTTCTCTTCTTAATAATGATAAATGAGATTGAAATTTAAAATTAAAATTTAAGATTAATGATGTTACTTATATCGTATTATTTAAAACATTAAAAAGTAAATCTTATATTATTTAATAATTAATTTTTTTAAAAATTTATAATATTCTATGTATTAATTAATTTAATAATATAATTTATATCATATTATTAATTTTAAATTTTTATCTCAAATTTTCATAATCACTTTCATTACTCTTCTCTCCTCCACTAAATCCAGCAGCCATATAAAAACAAAATGAATCTAGTTTGCATCAACATAAGAGTAATGATATGGGATGAAAATTGGAGGTAAAAATTTAGTATCAATAATTTATTTTATTAAATTAGTTAATACATATAATATTATGGTTTCAGAAAAATAAAAAGAGTTAATAATAAAATAATATATGATTTACTTTTTAATATTTTAAATGATATAACTTATGTCATGTTATTGGTTTTAAAATTTAGTTTCATTTATCGTTATTCTTAACAAAATTATTAGTTATTTTCTAATACAAAAATTTATGTAAAATTAATTACAAATATTATTATATTTAATAAGTTAGAAAATATCTTTTGATATTTATCAATAAATAATTACTTTTACCAATTAATTCCAACAATTAAATTTAAAAAATTAATATTTTAAAAAATAAAATTTAAAAATTTATATAATTTTAATAATTTATTACGTGAACATAACCATTTTTTGAGTAGGAAAAAGGCCGATAGAAAAGCTTCATGTTTGACCTAATCAGCAATAACCAAATCAACGGGAAATGTCATAACCTGCAGCTTTGTTCCTGTTAAATGGGTGCCTCCCCGCGCTGGGTGGATGAATCTAAACTCAGATGGTTCGTCCATTTCTAATCCTGGTAGAGAAGGTGCAGAAGGAATTCTTGGTGAAGCCCAGGGTAAATGGGTTAAAGGTTTGCAAAAAACCTCGGACATGGATCCAATATTGCGTCTGAACTATGGGGAACTAAAACATGGTTTGAGATGGCCCTCCAAAATGGGGTTCAAGATAATTGAAATTGAATCTGATTCATTGCTTGCTGTTAACATTTTGTCTAACCAAAGTAATGCTAGCAGAACTCATCGTTCTCTAGTTTCTGTTTGCATATCATTAATCCTACAGTTTGATGATGTTGTTCTTTGTCATATCCAACGTGAAGCAAATAGAGTGATTGATACACTTATCAAGCATAGGGCACTAATAGAGGAATCTTTTATTGTTTTTTATTCTATTCCTATTTTTTGTGCCTTTTGTTTCTCTTATGATTGGGATGGTTATTTTGTGCCTCAAATCAACTTTTGTAAAACTTAATTATTGTTGTACCTATGATTTTGATTATTACAAAATACATTTGAGTAATTAATTGGTTCATTTAAGTGTACAGTTAAAATGCTAAAAGATAGGAAAGTAAGTAAACTAGGATTACACTAAAAATGGACCAAAAATGCTAAACTGTGTAGAGAGCTGGCTTAAAGAAATCTGTAGCTGACTCTGGAAGGTAAAATTGTAGAGAGTCGGCTCTAGAAGCTGTAGTCGGCTTTATAGGTGAAAATTTTAAGTCTGTTGTTTGGTGTGTGCAGAAAACAGACGCAAAGCTGGCTTTGACTTTGCAACCAGCTATAAAGGCGTATTAAATATACAACGGTCAAGTTATTTTAAGATTTCTTTAATATTTTAAAGTCAAATTTCCAAAGTCGGCTTTACATTTTGCAGCCGACTCTTGAGGAAAACAGAATGTGCAGGAAACTTGCTAAGCCGACTGTAGAACTTTAAGTCAGCTGTATAAAGTTGACTCTAGACTTGAAGCCAGTTGTACTAACAATTCAGCAACTCAAAATTACACGACCTGTAGAGCATTTAATGACCCCCAACAACTAGTAACAACTATTTTCGACCATAGGGTTATAAATATGGTTGATAGAAGATCTAAAACAAGTTTGAAAAGCATTGTATTGAATATCTTTATTTACCAACTTGTGCTTTAACTTGAGATTTTGATCTTTGAGAGATTTTTACTTGTAATCCTCTTCTTATTCTATTTGTGAGTGATCTTGGGGGTGTGATTATTTCTTCAAGAGTGATTTGTAGAGAGGATTGTTTGGGTTTATCTTGTAAAGGGGTGAGATTTGAGAGAAATACATATCTTCTTATAAAAGGATTGAGTGGCTCCTTTAAGCAATCCTTGTTCTTGATGGTGGAGAGTGTGGAGGAAATTCTTGATGAGTGAAGCTAAGGTAGAGGATTAAGCTCCAAGTGATTGGACTGGACCTTTATAAAATCATTGAGTAAGCTCTTCTTATTTACTCTCTTTAATTCTTTGTTTTGTGGTTGCAAAGAGGAGGAAAATTTTGAACTCCAATTCACCCCCCTCTTGGAGTGCATTGAGCCAACAATTATTTTTTATGATATTTCTCATTTGAAAAAAAAAGAACCCTATTAGTGACATTGTTTTTGCCCCTGAAAAAAATCAGAAATGACTCTCTAGGGCAATTCAACGAACAAGTAGGCCACATTAGAAAAATGAGTCCCAAAAGATTAATTAAGTAAACGAGAACATTTATATATATATATATTAAATATAATTATTATTTTTATTTAAAAAATTATAATAAATCTTAATTATTGAGAGTAAAAAGATAAATAATTAAAATATTGTATAAATATAATATATAAAATTTATAGATTATGATAGGGACACTCGTTGGTTTAACACCCAGTTGGCTACACCCTATATAATATCTATTATTTGGCGTTTTGGACTAAGAATGAAACACTCTGGCACTCAACTATTCATGATCACAATGTATGTTCTCGTTACCAAACAGGCTGGAAATATGGGTCTTGCCATAGAAGAGAGAGAAGAAGAAGATAGAACCTTCTTGTCCTTTCCCTTCACATATTACAAGTGTTTGATTTTTTGCACGTAGATGCTTTGATCAGAGATAGGGAGAAGCAGATGTGGTTGACTGTGGTCATTAGCTTTGAATCCTTCCAAGTAAATGAGTATGGGGTGCTAGGTTTGTCAGCTGAGGAATGTGTGAAGAAGCCTAGGTTTAATTTCTGTGTTATTTTCTCATTTGATTTTGAATCTCAACTTGTATGGATTTACCTTGTGAGTTGATTATTTCAAAGTTTTGAATAAAGGATGTTGGGTTTTGGTTGGTTAGAGTTTATGAGTGGAAAGTTTTTAATTTGAGATAGTGGATTTAGGGTGATTACAATATGATGTGAAAGAGGGAAGGTCAGGGAAGGTCGATTGCCATGGTTTCATCAAATTGGGATGAGTAAGAATCTATAGAATTTGGAGAAATGGAGGTTGAGGAAGGGCGATTGGGATGACTAAATATTGGAATATGTACAATTTTGAGAAATGGAGGTCGGGGAAGGCCGATTGACATAGTTTCATCAATTTGGGATGGGTAAGAATTTGTAGAATTTGGAGAAATGGAGGATGAGATAGGTTTTTGACACCAAAGAAATCTAGGGAGCCAAACGATAACCTAGATAAGTTAAGGATAAGTCTTTGGCTTATCACCCCTTAACTCCTTGGTTGGGGATTACTACCCTTTGAACGATTAGTTGGGGAAAATTTGCCCTCAAACTTGTCGATTTTGGCAAATCACCCTGTCACACCCCAAACTCATAGGTTTAGGCATAACAAACGTCACACATCTACAGAATAACCCCAAAGATGTGTAAGGCCACCTACCTGTATTTTAATACAATCTCATATAAAGTTTTTAATATAGCCTTGCAATTTTAAAATAAACAATTCCATTTACAAATCTTAATAGTCTCCAAATGACAAGATCAAATCTCTTAATCAAAACATAAAGTGGTTAACATCTTATTCCATAAAATCAAATAAGCTTTCAATTGAGCTATTGCTAAAATTCTGTCAGTTTATTTTAACAACCTCTCAATCCCCATGCAAAACCTGATGCTCATACTTCTTCACCTGAAATGAGATGAAAATTTGAAAACGTGAGTTTAAGAACTCCGTAAGTAGTATATCCGTCCGTCATAACCAAGCATAAAATCTAAAACTGAATTTTTTTTATTGAAAATGAAATGATATAAAAATACAATTCTTTTTTTGGTTTAAGTACCATTTTGGTCCCTCACCTTTTCACATTGGCACCAAAACTGTCCCTCACCTTTAAAAAGTACCAAAATTATCCTTAAACTTTCATCTTTGGTACTAAAATGGTCCTTCCGTTAGTTAAATGACAGGTGGCACGTTAAAATGCCAACAAATCAATTCATTTTTTTTTTTAATCAATGACATGGAAAAAAAAAAAAACATAGTTGGCTAATTTTTTTATGAGTTGGCATTTTTTATTTATTTAAAATTAATGATATATATTTTTTTCATCCACATCATCTCGTCTTCCTCTTTCACTCTTTCTCCTTTACCTTTCCTTTTCCCTTAGGTTAAATGCTTAATTTGGTCCCTCAACTTTATGAAATGCACATTTTTGGTCCCTCAACAATTTTTTGCACTTTTTTGATCCCTCAATTATACGAAATGCACTCTGTTAGTCCTTTTGTTAATTTGGGCTGTTAACCCTGCTTAGGTGGCATTTTTTTATATTTTTTTGATGATGTGGAGAGCAAAACTTAAAAAAGTGATGATTTGCATAAAACTTTTGCCATGTCACATGCTACCCTGGCGAAAACACACAAAATCCATCCAAATGGATCCCACACACACTAAGAATTGCTTCTTTGCCTATCGATTACTATTTCTATTCTTTCCATAATCAGTGTTCTTTCCATTTTCAAGATTAAAGTTCGACAAAACCCAGCAGATCTGGGTTCGATGTAACCCAGCAAATAGGTTCCATCGAACTCAGCTCGATTCACTGAAC